TTTTCATCGTCTTCGTGTGGACGGAAGGCCTAAACGCATAAAAAAGTTTGCGTTTACTAGCGTTTGTGTTTACAATCGTCTTCGTGTGGACGGGGCCTAAAACTATTATTCGTCTCAGGCTCGTGAATATTGGTGAATATTCACTTCGACTTCTACGAATAATTGTTAATTATGTACTGATGAGCCTAACCTATAACAATTACTTTGGACATGACCATATGTTCTTAAAATCAACCCTGCAATAAATCTAACATAAACAACACGAGGTCTTTCCATAAAAAAGCAAGTACGCTTATATTTGCAAGCAATGTCTAAATGATACAGCCTAAAAGGTCTCGACTGGAACTTGAATCATTTTCTTTTCTGATGGTGTTCTTGGAAGACTAAAGACTGCTTAATAGTTTTGTGTTTTGTTGAAGGAATCAAAATAAGAAACTAGGAACCGGAAATATTTGCCCCTCTGAAAGTGATCTTGAAAGAAGAAAGGCCGCTAAATCGCTTTATGCTTGTAAACCTATAGAAAATACGAGACAGGCGGACACCTTCCTGTTGACTTTTTGCCAATCTTTATTATGCAAACGAAAGGTTTCTCATGGGCAATTTGTATCACTTGTTGAAGATACCTCAATCAGCTATCATATAATGGAAATAGTACACCCTGTCAGTTTAGAAATCCACCGGTCTTATTTTCATCTCGGTTCTCTAAATGCTGCATAATACTTATAAAAATTGTAAAACGTAATTGATCGAGTCACTCCTTTTCTAAGATGGTACTGTACCCCAGCTTTGCTGTGGACAGCTTGTCAGTTTAGAAATCCACCGGTCTTATTTTCATCTCGGTTCTCTAAATGCCACATAATACTTATAAACTTGTGAAACGTAATCGAGTCACTCCTTTTCTAGGATGGTACTGTACCACAGCTTTGTCGTGGACAGCATGTCAGTTTAGAAATCCACCGGTGTTACTTTCATCTCGGTTCTCTAAATGCCATATAATACTTATAAAACTTGTAAAACGTAATTGATCGAGTCACTCCTTTTCTAAGATGGTACTGTACCACAGCTTTGTCGTGGACAGCTTGTCAGTTTAGAAATCCACCGGTCTTATTTTCATCTCGGTTCTCTTAAGGGAGTAATGATGTCCCTTCCAGCGTTTCCAGTTCACACCTTCACCATGAGAGGTGTGATTGCCTCGAAGATACAAGCCGTTCAGGTTGGATTCGTGACACTTGTTGTACCACCAGGCTCCTTTGAATTTATTGGCGCAGTTGTGACCTTGATGGTTATCATTATCTTGATCTTTAGTTGTGAATGACCGATTGCGATGCCAGCCAAGAGAGTCACCAGCATTTCCTGACAAAATGAGCCGTGTTATGAATAGTAAGCGTCACCAACAATGATCTGTTTTTAAGGCAAATCAAATCTTAAGATATCAAATTAATACAGTTTAACAATAGTGACCTTTTCAATCGATTCTGTAAGATGAAATTCTTAACACAATAATGCTGATAAATATATTTGCCAAGATTCCGAGCATGATCCACCGATGGATACCTTCAGATTTCATCAACGTATGGTATGCGCTGTCCAAGAGTTGAGTTTGCTTTTATTTTCCTCCGAAGCTATTTATACAAATGATTTATGCATCTTTCCAGTAATTCAAATGACCACGGTTTCCAGTAATAAAAACGATCCAGTAATAAAAACGATAGAAAAGAAAACTACCGTTTTACCTGAATAAGAACCAAGAATTAGTTTGTACTTGTCATTGTCGTTCATAACACCAAACAAGTTATATTCAGCATGACGAATATTCCCTTCAAAGTCGTGTAAGTCCACGCGCAGCCTGAAGTTGTTATTTGATGTCAGGCGGTGAATCTTGTCCAGTCCGAGCCAAAATTCACCATGCAGATCACCAAAGCCATGCTTGTAGTCGTTCCAGCAGCGGTAAAAATCAACCGAACCGTTTAGTCTCTTCTGGAACACTGTCCATCCTCCACCAGCTGTTGTTTGGTCACAGAATACATCAAAGGCAGTCAGGTTGTCAGGTTTAAGGGTGTAAATACCATCTCTCTTTTCCCCTTCATTGTAAATTTCAGCACAGGTTTTCTTCATGGCTGTGAATAAATAAGAGGATTGTCGAATCGTTCAAGGAGTAAATTTGATGAACTTTCAAATCTTTTTTTATTTTAACATCTTTCAAAAAAATCAATAAATCATTCCAGTGTCAGTGGTACAATAAACACAAGAGGATAAGTGAAAGAACAGACAATTTAAGTTACCTTGAAATTGGCAGTTTTGTCCAGTGAATTCATCCCGACAGGCACAACGAAAACCTTTACTTGTAAATCCAGCTTGACAGGTACCATCGTTTAAACATGGGCTGCTGCTGCAGCGATTCTATAAGCAAAATCAAAATAAACCTCCTACAGCTTTCCTCTGAAACAAGAGTGAGACCATTTAAGCTGTGAATGAAAAAATGTTACCTCGATTGCAAAATATGTGTAAGCTGGTTTATTCACAAGAAGAAAAGGAGCATGGTTTTCCTGGGTGGCGTTGTTCAACTCGCATTTTTGGTTTCCTCTTGCTACCGGTCCAACATTGATAGACACACAATCAGGCTCCAAATAACACATTACCCTGCAGCTCCCTTCGTTGGGCACCTCCATTTTCCTGATCACGCGATCTTCCATGGCCATGTTTTGAATTGGATTCCTGAATATGATGCTTCGACAATCTTCACCTGGAGAAGGAAAAAGAAGAATTACTCGTTTAGTTATCGCCTAAAAGAAGTACACAAACAACGCTATTTATTACCACCTTAACGTGAAAACTTCAATCATTCTCCTCTCAAGGGAATTTCATCAGGTCGGAAAATTCATTTTTAACTGGGAGGTTTTCTTAAGGTGACCAAAGTTTCTCATAGTAAGACCTATTTTTTTCAAAATGAGTAAGTAAAGATCTCAAAAGAGAATCCTTATGTCCGTGCGTTCCATCCAGCGTATAAGCTTTTGCAGCCTATCCCTATGCTTGCATCACAAGTAAATACTGAGCTCAATATTGGAACAATAGTTTTATGATAAATAAAACAGCACCCTTTTAAACTTTCTTTCCACAAACCTTTACTGTAAAATCTGGAACAGTGACTGTCTTTTACCAAATCCTAACCAGGCCATATTTTCTGTCTTTGAGGCCTAATTTAGTTTCACATCATATTCCTCATAATGCTCATTTACCAGTCTATCGATTCATACCTTAGTATGGAAATCAAACACCCATTTCTATTGACGACACAAATTACATTGGCTTATCCAATTCACGAGTTGGCTCACAGAGCCTTTGATTTTACTAGTTCTAAGAATATTTTGTTGACAATATCCTAAACATTAATTTTCAATGTCATGCAATGAGGCTGTAGTTGCTAAGAGTTAAATGTATAGCTTGGCTATATGCTAGCCACCTATACAGCCATTTGATAGGTAGTCCAACCCATAACACCCTTATTTCTTGAGCTTAAAAGGTAAATGTGGTACATCTTTGCTTACTTAGGGAAGATGGGGATTACCGTTTTAGAACATTGTTAACTTAGCATAGATGGGGGTTAACTTGGTAGATTATGGTCAACTGAGGAAAAGTGGGGGTTAAAGTGGTAGAGCGTGGTTTACCTAGGGTAGATAAAGGTTAACGTGGTAGAACATGGTTAACTTAGGGTAGATGTGGGTTCACGTGGTAGAACATTATTAACTTAGGGTAGATCAGGGTTAACGTGGTAGAACGTGGCTGATATGGCTGAGGGTTTACCTGGTAAAACATGGTCAGCTTAAGGTAGACGGGGTTGACGTTGTAAAACATTGCTAGCCTTGAGTAGCTGTGGGTTAACGTGGCAGAACATGGCTAACTTAGGGTAAATGGGATTTAACGGGGTATAACATGGCTAACTTGGGGTTGGAGAAGGATTTAAGCGATAGAACATGGTTAACTTACGGTAGATGGGGGATAACGTTGTAGAACATGGTTAACAAAGGGAAAATTGGGGTGAACGTGGTAGTATGGTTAATTTAGGGTAGATGGGTGTTAACGGGATAGAATATGGCTAACTTGAGCTTGGAGAAGAGTTAAAGGGGTACAACATCGTTAACCTAGAACGGATGAGGGTTAACGAGGCAGAACATAGTTAACTCAGGGTAAATGTGGGTCATATGGTGGAACATTATTAGCTTAACGTAATAGAACATTGTTACCCTAGGGTAGATAAGAGTTAACGTGGCAGGAGAAGGTTAGCTTAGGGAACATAAGAATTAACGTGGTAGAACGTGGTTAACTTAGGGTGGAGGAGAGCTTACCTGCTAAAACATGGTTAGGTCAGGCTAGACGGAGGTTAACGGGCTGATGGGGGTTAACGTGGTGCATCATGAGCAACTTATCGTAGATGAGGGTTTACGTCGTAGAACATGGTAAGGTAAGGGGAGATGGGGGTTAACGTAGTGCATCATGGATAACTTAGGGTAGATGGGGGTTAACGTAGAACATTGTTATCGAAGGTGGTAGAACGTGATATCTTAGGGAAGTTAGAGGCTAACTCAGTAGAACATTGTTAACTATGGGTAGATGGAAGTTAACGTGGAAGACCCTGGCTAAGTTTGGTTAGATGGAGGTTAACATGGTAGAACATGGTTAATTTATGGTAGATAGGGGTTGACGTGATATGGTTCGCTTAGGTTAGATGCGCGCTGACATGGAAGAACATTGCTAGTTCAGGGCAGATGTGGGTGATCAGGGTAGAAGATGGTAAACGTAGGGTATATGGGGGTAGACGTGGTACATCATACTCTAAATTCGTTCAAGAAGAACATAAGAAAAGTCGACCTTTCAACTCTTGCTGAAATTTAAAACTTAAATAACTTTATAATCTTTTTAATTATCTACTGTAAATAACTATTATCTGCATATGTATATGTATTTGACTTTTAAATTTTTTAGTGTCCCTCATTAGCATATAGCTAAAAAAATAGACACTTAAATAGAGTTTTTCATTCATTCACTCATTACTGCAGATGGGGGTTAACTTGGTAGATTATGGCCACCTGGTTATGCCTTACCTAGGGTAGATTAGGGTCAAAGTGGTAGAATAGAACATGGTAAACTTAGGGAAGATGTGGGTTTTCGTGGTAGAACATTATTAGCTTAGGGGAGATGGGGTTAACGTAGTAGAACAATGTTAGCCTTGGTTGGATAAGGGTTAACGTGGTAAAACGTGGTTATCATAGGTAGATGAGGGTTTACCTGGTAGAACATGTTTAGCTTAGGGTAGATGTTGTAGAACATTGTTAGCCTGGGGTACGTGGGGTTAACGTGGTAGAACATGAAACTGATGAGAGATTTATGAAACTGACGAGAGATTTATGAAACTGATGAGAGATTTAAGATTCTAACGCCCTATTCATTCAAAAGAGAATTATCTTACAATCTATGCATTTCATTAATTTGTATTAAGTTTTATTTCTAATTGTTATGTTTTGGTGTTTCTGTTATTTAGTTATTTATTTCATTTACTTTTTTATTGTATACATGTTTAAGAATTATTTGTTCTGTATTCTATTTCCTTAATAAGAATTTAAAATGTAAACTGTAAAATGCCTCTTTTCTGACCTTATATTTATTTTCAATTAATATATGGTGGTCACCCAACTAGTTTAGCTCTTAGTTATTCTGGGTGACCAGCAACTGTATGTATTTTTAATTTATTTCTCGTTTAATTTATAACTAAGGTAATTTTACAGTTCAAATAAACCTTGTCTTGCCTTGTCTCTTGTCTTAGGATAGACGGGGCTTAACAGGGTATAACATGGCTAACTTAGGGTTGGAGACGGATTAAAGTGGTAGATGTGGGTTCATTGTTAGCATTGGGTTAGTGGGGTTAACGTTGTAGAACATGATGAACTTAGAAGAGATGGGGTTTAACGTGGTAGAACAAGGTTAAGGTAGGGCATATGTGGTTTACGTGGTAGAAAATGGTTAAATTAGGAAAGATATGGATTAATGCGGTAGAACATTGTTAGCTTGGGGTAGATGAGGTTAGCGGGGTAGAACAGGTTAACTTAGGATAGATGTGGGTTCACTTGGAAAAAACAGTATTAGGTTGGGTAGATGGGGCTGACGAAATAACACATGGTTCACTTAGGGTAGATAGGGTTGACGAAATAACACATGGTTCACTTAGGGTAGATGAGCGTTGACGTGGAAGAACATTGCTAATTCAAGGTAGATGGGGGTTAGCGTGGTAGGACATGGCTTACTTAGGTAGATGGAGGTTAATGGAGTAGAACAAGGTTAACTTAGGGTGGTACATCATGGCTCACTTAGGGGAGATGAGAGTTAACGGTTTAGAACATCGTAGATGGGGGTTAACTTGGTAGAGTATGGATAACTTATGGAAAATGTGGGTTAAAGTGGTAGAACATGGTTAACTTAGGAAAGATGTGGATTCTAGCGTGATACAACATAGTTAACTTGGGCTAGATGGGGGTCATTGTGGTGTAACAAGGTTAACTAGAACATCGTAGGCCATAAATGAATCTTATTATGCTATATCACTTCTAATAAGTGAAATGTAATGTATAGGATGTCTTGACGTTCTTAAGAACGCTTTTACCCGGATTCGTGCGACATGGCTCCTCGAGAGACGACTTTCGGGCGACTTGACCTTGGACCCCACCTACTTTTTATTACTATTTATAACACCAAACATATCATACTTAGCATGTTGTTACGGTATAATTTAACCAACAGAAAGAGCGTATACAGCTACCAACCCAACCACTTTATTAAACAACGTGTAATTTCATAATGTTCTTACTTACTTATCGTTAATAAACTCACTTAAGCCCATTAAAGATGACTTGCTTGATTCAGTCCTATTGACACAAACTCACAGTTTTCTCCAAATCTCCTTGAAATTAAGATTCTTTCAAAGTATCTTCCTCTCGATATCGCTTTCCAAACAGTCGGTCACTCCAGACAACACCAACTACTATTACACTACTGAGTACTTAATACAATGTATAATACAATGTATTATAGAACATTCCGGAACCTTAAAACATAACTATTTTGGTAGTATTACATCATGAATACATGACCTAAGAGAGTGTTCCATAGTATGACACTAGAAAGTACGTATATGCATGTCAGCATGCTTATCAGAGGCTTATTTTACAGTTTCTATCTAGAACAATTTCGGGTGTTCCCTCTAAAGTCTTCCAAGTCCACACTCAGCACTTTGTTGTTATCTGAAGGTAGGGGTGAACCTCATCTTGTCAGTCTTGTCAATTCCGAGCCAAACTCACCATTCAGGGCCCATTTGTTCAAAGGACGGATAGCATTATTTGATGAATAAATCGCTAACTTGCGAAGAAGAGTTAACGATATGCATCGCCCGGATGAAGATGAAATCAAGGCAGAGCATCATCCATCTTTTGAACGACAGGGGGCTAGACTTAAGAGAAGCCCTGTAGGAGTAAAGTGCCTCACCCAAGAACACAACACTTTGTTGAAGCCTGATTGAGTGTACGAATTGTCAGTAACAAACACTTATACCGCGTAATTGAAGACTTTTTGGTTACCCGATGAAAATAAAGGCCGCGGAGTTGCGAAATGGAGCAGTGAAGCTTTAAATATTGTTTATGCCGCTCTTTTTCTCTCCAGCCCTCATGGCTCAGCTGCTCGGTGCTTAAAAATCGCCAGCAACACGGGCTCACATCAATTGTTTCGTGCTGGTGCGCAGGTGGTTTGTAGCCTACGACCGCGGTGCAGCTGGGACAACTGTCGTTTCGAGCTCAATTCCAAATGACCACCGTGCGAGTGAGGTTGGCATGAGTCCTGGCGTTATATTAATATGAGCATTACTACTTTGTTGGTGTATTGAAAAGAGGTGAAAAGAGAAACTTTCTCTAGCTGCTTCAAGGAAAAACAGCTGTGGTTGACGTTTCTGTTGGCTTCATAGGGATTTAATTTGGATATATCAACAAAGTTGAAATGGTAAATTGGTAACTGTAACGGTTACAAAAGCTGGCGTTTCGAGCATTAGCCCTTCGTCATTCGCTCCGACGAAGGGCGAACGCTCGAAACGTGAGCTTTTGTAACCGTTACGGTGGCCAACTTACCATTTCAACTTTGTTGATATATCCAAATTATTTCGTTACTCCCACCGACGCAGCCCCAAACAGTTTCTTTCGAACTACCAGCCTTTATACATAGGGATTTGACATTAAGTATCCTACGAACTTCGGTTGGTCGGTCTGAAAGGTACAATTTAGCAACCAAATGCAGATTTTAACCAATTAGACCAACTTGAGGCATTTCTTTAGCACGTCTGCTTTGTCTATTTTCCAATTGTAGGAATCACATTCTCTAATTCCGATTTTTCCGTTTCTTGCCTCGTCCCCCAAAGATCGCCGAACAAGAGGAACGTAAAAAAAGGTTAGACTATGGAGGCTAGAAGACTGAAACTATCGCTTAAACTAATAGTTTTGGTCTAGATTTTGGTCCAACATTTTAAAACAGGAGGCCGGAAAAAACAACAGGCGTGGACATTTCAAAAACAGGCCGTCAAAGTGGCATCCGCCATCGGCTTAGCGCAAGCCTCGCAGAAACTTTGATAGTAAGAAATTGGCTAGCCATTGATGTCTGATCCTTACTAATACAGGGTCCCATTTTCGACTAATGCTAACGTTTCTTCTCTTGACCAATCTTCGGGTCGCGTGGTACCACTATAAGAGGTGCTTGCACTGGAAATCAAACTCCTTAGAGCTGCTTTTTTTTTAGACGTTGCTTTCCGATGGTTCGTTTGAGCTTAGTTTCGGGGCTGTCTTACCTGGGGTATTCCCAGTACTGCCAAAATGCCTTCTTTTACCAATTGTTGCTTATCTAAAGTCTGAGATTAACAATTCTTAGTCAAATCTGTCTCAGATTCTCCGAGACCGTATAACTATGTTACCGGAGTCAGACTTTGCAGCACAACACATAACTTTGCAAAGCGAAAAACCATCAACTTCAAACGTAGTTTTTGAAGAACTGAATAGAGAGGCGCAGTTAGGTGCGATTCCCTCAATATTAGTCCTATCCAATTGGAATAATTAGGTGTACTTCTTGATCAGGTGTAAGCAAGGAATAGTGAAAAAGGAAAATTATTACAAGAATGGGGTGCGATTTACGGGGATATGCACCCTGGAAAATAGGTCTTCTCATTCTTACCACAAAATACCAAAACAACCCAGGAATCAGCAACTTCAAGGAGGAAGGGTTTATTTCTCATTTCGAAGTTTTTTCTAGTCTGCATAGCTTGGCATTGGGGAAAAAATGAACTTGAACTTTCCCCTTCGAAACGCCGCAATCACATGATAGGACCGCCATGTTGGAAATTTGTGAAAATAATTCCCCGCGGACACCACCGCAGGCTGCACACCACCTGGTTGGTGGGTGTCTAATGACTTGTTTCTATCAAATCTGAAGAAAAATCCCTAGGTTGATAGCGTCATACCTAACGAAGTGAGGATAATGCTAGGATAAGTTGCGTTTACTTGTAATTAGGGACTTTAAGCAACGAGATACGGGGACTCCAAAACCCGCATAAGACTGGGGAGAGAACGCCGTCGTGGCGGGAATTTCTAAACAGTTAAGCAGCCATTACAAAACGCCGCTCATTATGTCTTTGAAANCTTTCTTCTGCAGCCTTTCTTTTGTGTTTCTTTATTAGAACCAGGTTTACACGGTCTCTTTACAGACCTCAAAGAAACTGAGAAACGGGGCTCAGACACTGCACTCAGGTTTGAGGCAATTTCTTCCCACAGTCTCGCTCTCTCCCTACTTCCCTTCGGCTGGCTATACGGATCAACAGTAAAAAAAAGCGATGAAAGTTATTTTTGATTGTCTCCTGGGAATATTTAACGTTTAGATAGCAGAGAAAGGAATACTCACGTTTCGGCCAACGTCAAATTGACTCGTTTCTCGTCGGGCCCGAACGCAGAACGTCAAACTTTTCCCCGCCAGTCATGCGCAGATAGTTATTTGGATTTTCCCTGAGAGCCTGCGGTCCCCGTCGCCGTCCCCGTTCTCGTTGCTTAAAGTCCCTATTACGAGGACGAAACCGTTTCGGCTAAATGCGTGCTTGTACCTACTGGGAAAACTGTCAAATGTCTCCGCCGTATTTGACGGCGCCCCCGCTATATATTTCTATGTTCCTTTAACATTTTTTTTTTCCTCCGGTTTTGTATGGTTTTAAGAGGAAAGTTTTGTGAAATAGGTCAAATTTTGCGAGATCTTTGTTTGTTATGTAACAATTATTACACAAACAATGACTCTCTGCAGTTATTCCATCTATCGTTTAGTTATCGGGTGAGGTTTAATTTTCTCTAGCACCGAAAAAAAAATTAATAACCGACTGAATATCATAGGCAACTATGTTTGCATATAAGTCTCTTAAGCAGTACGATAACAAAAATAATTTGAAACCCGCACGTGTACGCATTGGAGGTCTATTGTTTAAATCTCAGACTTTACATAACATGCCATGGGCTTCAAAATAAAAGTCTCCCTAGAGACGAAATCTCAATATCTGTTGTTGCCTTGGGCAATATAAAATTGTCAGTGTCCGAACGGATTATGTATAAAAGAATATGCGATACCTTTTAATGCAAGGATAAATAATTTAGGTGTTAGATAAATCTTGAGAGGCATCGAGCGAGTGGAACAAGTGTAAGCCGAGACGCGGTAGGTGAATATTTGAATCATTTTTGAATGAGATATTTCGCAAAAGTCTGTATTCCTTGCAATTGGATGCCAAACCTCGATGGCAATATATATGACGACGTTCGAACTAGTCGTTGCAAAGACTTGCAGGCGAAAAGAGAATCTCAAAGGTGATGAATGAATGACTTTGTTGTTTTCTGCATTTTCAGTCCTGAGTTGGAAAGGAAAGTATTACTTCTTTTTTGAATCAGTTCATTTTTAAGGGAGGGCTTCAATCAATACCACAGTCCTCGTGTGTTTCTCCCGATGACTCAGTCGTTTTTTAGTCTTAATCGTGACTTATCAAGACGAGCACTTGCAGAAACATTTCCCTCTGCTGGTTTCAAAACACTTCATTAATTAAACAGCTCTAAAGACGCTTTCTTTGTGGCACCTTTGAACAAAAAGCAAACAGTGTACGTCTTCGGTTTTATCAGTTATTACTCCTGTAAGATGTAACTTCCTTTTTAAGTTTTCAACCCTGGAGCAATTGTTATGGCTCGCCTGGTTAATGAAATCATTGTAATGAGCTTTGTGTTGCTAAATTTGAGTAAGGTTATAGAAAATCTCACTAAGAAGATTCTTAGAAGGTGTCGTCTACGATAGGAATTCCTTGCTCAACCACGTTCCTTCCTTCGTTGATTCTTCGAAGCAGTATTTGAGCTGCAAATTATTCTGACTCACGCAGTTGGGTGTATGATAAAAAAGAACTGATTTATAGATTTAGAGATTCAGTGGAAGGGCGTTGATAAATCAGCTTCATCAAAACTGTTTATGTATTTCCTGAATTAGACAAAACACATTAAGGTGCTGGCTCCAATATTTTGGTTTAACGAAGGATTTTGTCTGAAAATTTCAATTACAGTTAGCACTATCTGTACACATTGTATATTTGAACTGCGGTTATAGATACGTATGATGCACGATCCTCGCAGTAGAGAGCGCTATTTAGGCAATAGCGAAAATCAGACCTGAAAAAAAAAATCAATTGGTAGAGCGCTGCCCTAGTATCGCAGAGGTCAGTGGTTCGAATTCCGTACAGGCCTGAGATATTTTTTTCAGGTCTGATTTTCGCTATTGCATAAATAGCGCTCTCTACTGCGAAGATCTTGCATCATACGTATGATTGTATTATACACATTATCTTATACAAATTGTACTAAAATGTAATGGCAAGTATGTCTTGGTCTGAGCATTAATGAAAAAAGGGAACCTAAACAAGAAGTTACCAGATGTCAAAATTTCGCAAATTTTTCGAGTCGAAAAATTACTTAGCTACCTTCTCTTTATAGAAACTATCATGAAATCTAATTGTTTTAATTTTCCCGCTAACAGTCAAAATATGTTTTCACGAAATTGGTTTGGATGAAAACGATCTGTTATGGAGGGTTAAAAAGAAACACTTCAGGGCTGGTCTTGCTAAGATCGATTGTTATAATGTTTTAAAACATATCACATGGAGTCACTCGTACAGTAACTTTGATTTCTCTTTATTTACTTTTCACCTTTGAGGGAATCGATCTCCCGTAAGGTCCCACGCACAACCAAGCAGGAACAGTTCTCGCAAAGCTTGCAGTTTATTATTGTAATCACCGATCATTAGGTCGACACGTGACACATGTGTCGCATGCTGCTAGGATCAACAGCATCAAAAGCCTCTCGTAAGTTAAAAGAAAAAATAGATGGTAAATTCTAAGCTCGGTAATGATGTGAAGAAAGATGTTAATTGGCGTTATCGCGAGCGTAATGCATAGAAAAGTTACTGATTCTGATTCAGCTTCCTCATAGGACTGGGAATTTTTTTCCTTGTCCAAGACAAAGAATATATTCTTCTTCATACGATACTTTTTTTTTTTTTGTTTTTTTTTTTTTTTGCACATTTCGCTGAGGAAATGCGTGAGTCAGTTTGTTTGCTTTCCTTGCCCACGATGCCTTACATGGCGGAAACAGCTGCTTTTGAATCGACAAAAAAGTAATGAATGACCTTGTGTCCCCACGATTTGCACCTGAGAGCACATTTCATAACTAAAACACAACAGTTTTTACCAATAGTCGTTTCATGAACGCAGTCGCATCTATATTTGAGAGTGCTACTTTGGCTTGCAATGTTTGGTATCAGTCGAAGCTGTAAACTTCCATCATGAGTAAGTGAATACTTTTTAACATTTTTCAATAATATAAGAAAGTCAGCCTTCTTTTGAGGTAAACGCAGTCGTTTTGCCTTGATACGCACATCGGTAGAACTTTTTTGAGTCATCGGTAATTGGAACTCGTACCTTGCGGCGCTTCTTGGCTCCTGTTCTGACAGTTTCTCTCATTGACTGATCACCGAGTTTTCAAAAGCGAGATCCCACAACTGTCACTATATGTGATATGAATTAAAGCAAAAAAAACATGAAAGTGCATGATACGAAAGTTACGACCTTCATACAGCAACCAAATCAATCACTGCGCATTTATGAGCCCGCTCATGCCCATACTTGACAATCGTAATGCCTACGCGAACCCGTTTATGTGAATAAAAAACCTGAAATGTTAGTCTTTCGTATGAGAAATTGTTTTTTTTTCTTGTTTTATTATTGTAGTGATCTAAAAATATCTTTATTTGTCGCTGTTAAGAGTTAACAAGATAAGAAGAGTCGATAGTAGTTGCAACATTAACAGATTACGCCCTTCACGTCTGCTATTTTGTTTGTCTCGTAAACAGAAAACTGGTCTTGCAGCAGTAATTGTAGACATATTAAAGATAACATAAGATTAACCAAAACACCTGTTTTCTGTTCTATAAAAAGATTTCAATGGGAAATCCTTGCAATTTCAGAATACCTTTTAAAATATGAAACACGAATGATGTCTTATTTCTCTTTGATTCGTGATCTCGAAAAGTTTACATTGATTCATTTCATCTTTATTTCCTTCCGCTGTTCCGGCCACTTTGATTCAATTTTATTACCTGGAAAGTTTAAATTCAATTGATGAATCGTAGCTCTTCTCATTTTTATTCAACCCGAATAGATTGTTGAGCAATGTTATGATGACTGAGAAAACAGACCGCGTAGGTACAAAAACGTTTGCTGACAATTGAAGCAGTTGCAGTATCTACGACGTTAGCGCCTTGAAGAAACTCAGCCGAGAAATTATTGACTTTTAAACTAACAATTGACATAGTTACCCCCTGGCCCCTCGCCCCGCTACGTGAAAAAAAAAAAGGTAAAACTCTATAGTTTAATTCCTTCCTTTTGCCATGAAATTGAATGGGAGAAGGAACCAGATGGTATGAATCGCAATTTGGTCAACATATGTAGGCGTTTGAAAAGAGCACTTCTCTGTTTCATTATGTTAATGGTTTCTAATCTAAAAATTGTGTCCTGCAAGTGTCATAAATACAAAAGCCTTGAGCTAAATTATTTCTTTCTTTTGTCACTACCTTGACGGTAAAGCGCAATTACTTACCACTCAATTTAACCTCAGTTGTTATTATTCTCTTAGCTGGAAACTGCAAGCTATATCACTTTGTCTCCAGATTACTTAAGTTCATTCCATAAATGCGCGTGTTTCTTCATTGGAAGGACAAAAAGAAACTGGTCAGTTACAATTACGGCAAATTTTGGGTAAGTTCAGATCTTTCTCACGATCTTAAGATTTAAAGTTCGCCCCCGCCATGATTCAGTTCTTTACAGAGTGTTTCGTCTCAAAACCTTTAAATCATTCGAACTACCTCCATCATCTATAACTTACTTGTTTCACTTCTCTCGATCTTCGACCTGGATTTGTTTAATGAGGTGCCACTCAGTCAAACAGAAACCTGTGAAAAATAGTTTTACCGCTTAACTCTCACTATTTAATAGATTATTCAGTCATCGCCCAAGCACGCCAATTGAGAAATCAGTGTTATGGATTTTACCGCTTAAGTTGTGCAACATAAAAAATTGCCTGTGAGGCCTGTCGAGCCAGTGAAGTAGTGAGTGCATCCTATCCCTGCCTAGAATATCCCCATGTCGCATTTTATAAATGACCGACAAAGGGATACACTGCATACTTCTAATATAATTTTTTATCTCAATCCTTGTGGCTAAAAATAATCATACTTTTTCCCCCTCGATTTTGCATTAAAGTAACTTCTTTTTAAGCCATATCTTTTCTGTTGCCGCGTGCCTGATGTAACTGAGCATATCTTTCCGGCTAGAAAAAACTATTAACTTTGTTTTCAACTTGTCATTTAAATGTGAACTCATCTTTTAAGATGCTAATGGCTGACTTCGCGATCAGTTTCAAGTTCTTGAACTGTTACTTTCGGGTACAATTTTTCAGATTTTTGCCAACAAATTGAAAGCTTTGAATGTTTTTATTCTGTTCGTCTTGTGGGTACTATCCCTCACGAATATTAAGTAAACACCTGCTTTTACAGCTACACCATTAAAAGTAGAGGGTGTTTGAAAGGTTTAAATTCTGAACATTAATAGTCTTCTTTAAACTATGCCAATTCTCATTGGTCAACAGAGAATGTGAAAGTAGGTTATAAATTTCCTTTGGTTGTTTCCCCTAAACAATTCTTATTCATGAGTTGCGATCAAAAATTCAGTTGTTTATTCAGAATTCTTGGACTTATTTGTTTTGTGATTCATCACAACCTGAGTCAAAATCGCATAAGAGTGTGCCAACTGTGGAGTTATTCAATTGTCTATTTTATAAGGGCATAGATTTCCTTCAATCAATAATGCCAACTGCGACGAGACAATTGAATCAGTTTTGTTCACTGAAAAGCGAAAAAAGCTTTAACAGTTCTTCTCGTAACTTCTAGACGATGAAATGTGTCCATGATAAGGATTTAGAAGTCTTATTGCTTCTGACAAATGGGAAAGCGACTTTTATCAACACTGCTTCGCTAGTTTCGGCCCTTTCTTCTGTTATTCTAGGCTTTTCAAGGCGCTATATATTGCATTCAAATCTCCCGCAGCTCCAGTGCTTATGAATAATTAATGTATCCAGGCATTTTACGCGATGTTTTTAATTCAGCTTTGCTTTACCGTTTTGAAACAAAATTGAAGCGATTCGGTGTCCCCCAATCATCAGAATTTTTTTTATAACGGGAAACTCGCAATCTTTACGTCAAGGAGGGCGTATATTACCGTGAACTGAATCACTTTTAAATTTTGCCCTCTCTTTGGGACTAGCGTTCCTGAGTAGGAGACTCGCTTCGAACGATGTTTTCTCCTCAGATGAAATTCAGAACGATTGGATGACTCCCAATGCTTGTTTGATTTCTCATATGTCTTGTAACCTTTATAAGTTAAGTATTACTTATATTTATTGTAGGAAATATTGTGAAATTTTTTCGTCAAGGTTCTAAGTTGCTAAAAAATCAAAGTATGCAGCAAGCTTCAAACCAAAGCGGCCAGGAGGAATTTCTGTGGCACAAAGATGGTTACCTAGCTTATGGGACTGTCATGTTCTGCATCCTAACCATTGGTTTTGTTGGCAATGGTTTAACTCTTGTCGTGCTGTACCAAAGGGAACATCGTAACCGTGGTGTAAACTCTCTAATGCTGAATCTCGCCCTGGCGGACATTTTCATCGTCGCCTTAGGTTACCCAATAGCAATTCAAGCCAATCTCAGGGGGATTTCACTGGACAGATCTCGATGCATCTGGTCTGCCTTTGTAAACGGTACCGTGGGTATAGCGTCCATTGCAACCCTAACTGAAATGGTTTTCGTCCCGTACTATGGCCTGAAGCAAGTAAACTCTGATGCTAGACTATCAATGGGACAAATCGCATGTATGACTGCCGGCGCGTGGTTTTATGGATGTCTTTGTATGGCTCCACCTCTTTTAGGCTGGAATAGATTCGTTCTTGCCGCCTCTAAAGTGAGTTGTTGTCCTGACTGGGCAGGAAGATCAGCTTCGGACACAGCTTACAGTCTTCTCCTCGTTGTCTTTGGATTTTTTCTTCCGCTTACTGTCATGGTCCTGTACTACTACAAAATATACAGGTAACTTGAATCTTTGTGTTTAGGGGTAAGGTACTTTACTCTCACTATGACTACTTCTCTGGGGTTCATGAATAATTTCAACATATTGTCAAGGAACTTGACTTGATCGGGAGGGCGGGGCTTACCTGGAGTCGGTACCTGTTCAAGCGAGTAGTAATACTCCTTGTGCTGATTCATGCTATAGAATTAGGGATATACTCTGGCCAAACAGACTTCAAATATTTCGCTGAAACCAACTTGCTTTTCCTTTTGATCCATTTAAATACATATACCCCGCTGAAGGTTTGATAATCTTTATAAAGAGACCTAAGTGTACATTGTTTATCATTTTCTCATCTGAGATTAATGCTCTCACCCTTGCATAACCTTCTCAGTTTGCTAAGATAAGAGTTACTGAGGAAAAAGATGGATAGCTCTTGGGGTCTGTGTTTTCTCACTAGCTTCAGACAAACGAAAGTTTGCAATATCCTATTTTAGGACTATCAGTACTTCTGAGGACCTAAGAGTCCTATACCTTGTTCCCCCTCCTTGTTTGAAACTGGGTCATTGTTACAGGACACTCATTATACCCTCTGCTAACAAATGCTGAAGTTTCTACCGAAAATGTGATTTATTGTTGATTTTTTAGTTCGAATTAACCTCAGAATTCGCGTTTCAAATATCTAGATAACAGGGCCTTGATGAAATTTAACCGTTAGAGGGAAAAAAGATAAAAAGTTAACTTTAAGACGTGAAAAACCTGAAAAATCTGACCGTCAACCGCGAAAACTCTTAACCGTTAGCCGTAAAACGGCCTAAACTGAAGATGTAAAAAACTGCAAAATTTAGATCTGAGAATCGCTACCCAAGAGATTTTAAACTGTTTATAAGCTCTCTGCGACCCTCAGAAAAGCCTTTTACGATCTCAAACTTGCCATATCTTCTCTTCCTATAGTCTTGTTCATCAAGCCGTTGTGCCAGGAAACATCGCAGTGCAAATGAGACGACGGTATTCCAAATTAAAGATAGTGCGCATGACCGCGCTATCTGTGGTAGTTTTTGTGCTGAGCTGGTCGCCCTACTGCTTAGTCAGCCTCGTTGCAGTCTTCACCGGGAAGCATGTGATAACGTCCGGAGAGGCGGAAATTCCCGAGTTGTTGGCTAAAGCATCTGTTATCTACAACCCTATTGTGTATACCATTAAGAATAGAAGGTTTCGAACAACGCTGCTTCGTATCTTAAACGTAAGACGGAATAGAAACCAAGAGCATTCGTTAACGTATCCGTCGAGAAGTAGAGATATCTTTCAAAATGGTGTACGTCGATATGACAATACAAAGAGAAAAAGCCAGAACCCTATACATATCATAAAATTGATTCCGCGAGGTCCTCTTGCAGAACGGGTCGAGCAAAATAACATTACTGTGTAGTGGGGCATCTAGAAAATTTCGGATCTCATTAAAGGTTCTTGTCATTCAAGACTGATTTAGATGCATCCTTTTGCTTCAGAGTAGGCCTTGAATAAATATTGATATAGACCGGTAACTAACTCTATTGGTTAGCAGCTTGTCAGCTTGTATGCTCACTTAACACAGAACAGAAAGTTTTTACCCGTCTACGACCTAAATCTGCTACTAAAATCAGAATAGTTTTGGTTAAGTCATCATTTAATAAAAGTGTTCTTGGTTCTAATTGCATCGTGTAGTTATTCGCTCCTACATGTTTATATTTAAAAGAGCATGTTCTCTCGATTTATTTATTAAAGGTATATTATTAAATAGAATGTGAAGTGTCTTTTTGATGGTAGCTGATTCTTTATTCTATAAAATCTGAGTCCGGCTCCTTTTTCTGGTTCATCCCGGTTGATAGATGTGTTGGGAATAAAGCAAAGTTTCGAAAGTAATTTGTCGGAGCGTTTGCAGGCGCAAAAGAAGCGTGTTTTAAAACAATCTAGGATATTTTATATTGGTTTTTTTTTAGAATAATACTCATGTTTCACTTTCTCATTTGTTTCGCTATTGTTACATTTAAGTACTTTAAATAAAGAAAGTTTTGCATTTCATTCCATTGGGATTATAAACTCACTTGACTACAACATCCATCAAGAATCCATTATTTCTTATTTACAAAACATACGTGGTTTGATTTTCAAGCATTTTCGCATCAAATAACGTTAGCTATCTTTGTTTACCTCACATATCTATTTAATTACCTATCTGTTTATTTCCTTTTGTATTTTATTAATTTCTATCATTTAATAATATTCAAATCTTAGGATTTTTCATATTCACTAAGATTATCATATTAATTGCCAACAAGATCTGCCACAAACCCAATTCTTGCCATGTAAATGAACATCAGATTGTAAACAGCATTTGCTACAGTCGACAGAGCATAGCTAAAACGCTTTCGAAATCTCAAAAAAAAAAATCTATGAAATATCATACAGCAACGTAAGTAACAGTAACATAGAGGACTGCTTTGAAAACACAGAATGGCCAACGGATTGTACGGAACTAACTTGAATTAATGCCATGTTATCTGATGTATGACCGGATTTTCTTGATACTTCAATACGTCAACAAATGTGCGGCTAAACTCACTTCAGCGACTCTGATAAGATATATTGGTGTTGAATACATGTCCTCTTGTAAATTATCTAAGAAAAATTCAACTTAAGTTAAGTACATTCAGTTTTATACTGTGAAGTAAGTTTAAGGTACCTATATCTAGCTTTTGTCGTTTCTCATTAGCTTACAATATATAGAAAGCAATCAGACTATTCCGTGTATACAATATATTATGATGGTATGTATAGGTAATACACGGCATTGATACTTCCCTCATATAAACTTTTACGGTTGTAGAGAGAGAGCTACTTTTACAGCTCCCCTTTTTCCTTTATCAAACTTGGCTTAAAACAAATGGCTGTCAACGGTTTGCTGCCCACTCAGTGTTTTGCATGAATAATTTAATAATAGTGCTATTTACTACAAAACAACAAGTTCGCGTTTAGGTAATTTGATTGGAGCGATAGGTTTTTGCGCTTCTGCGACGTGTTAACCGAGACGAAAACAAGAAAGCTCTGAACACGGAAGAAGAAAAACCTTATTAAATTCCAAGTAGGTAAGTTATAAACGTCTGCTTAAGTTTCGGCTGCTTCAGTCTTTCGTAGTTTTATCGTGATTTCTTGTCGCTTTTCTGAAATTTCTCGCTGCCAAAAAACGCGTGTAACAAATTCTTTTAAAAAATTCCCTTTTATGATAAATATTTCATTTTATCTCTATCATTTTAAGTTGTAAAGGTAAACTTTGAGTTCGGTCGGCGAATAACGAAAGTTTTCAACCCTGCATTTGTCATTAACGTTTAACAAAGAAAGAAAAAGTCTGAGTAACCCACAAGGAATCGTGCCTCAGAATTTCGGACATTGCGGTCGGTCTCTTTAACTCTCGTTTTTTTATGAGCCCTTAACTACTTTTACTTGTTTATCAGACCACTCGGTCTTGCTTATTATTCCTCTTTCGATATGAAGTACTCTTGAGGCACTGTGCCGCTAAACACATACCGAACTTAACGATATTATTAAAAAAACGCTTTGACAAGGCCTTGGTGAAACGTTCATGAAAGAAAAGCAATAAAACTTCAGCTGCCTTCTTTCTAAATGTTTCCGCTGAAAAGTTATTTATTTGATTTATGATAAAGCTTATGGTTAAGAGCAAAATTTTTCAGTCCTCTGATTCTACGTTCGCTGTCTTGTTCTAATCCTTAAAAAACCCTATTTTCATCAGTAAATGCAAATATCCTTCCTTTAGAGTACCACCGACTGATAAGTGGCAGACGGCAAAAGCTGATTGACTCTGGCGAGTTCAGTGTTTGCGCTTTTAAAAAACTTAGTGCTAACCCTACCAAACAAAAACTATATTCTCCCTTCTGAGATAAGCAATTACATCAATTTATTGACCAGGGGTATTTTTGGTGAGAAACAGTTTCTGCTAAGAAGAGACATGTAGCAAATCGCGAACCGTGATAACTTCTGAATTTTGATTCGAGTAAACATATGGCGAGTTTTGTTTTTTATAATTTTCTTTTTTACTTCTTATATTCAGTATGGCCATAAAAAAATTGAACTGAGACTTTAAGATCTAGCGCCCTGACTCGAGGTATAAATCAACCATTTGTCAATAACTCATAACGAATATCGACGATTATATACTGTGTAACCAAAACATACAGTTCAAAACCCTATCTTCGTCTTTATCTCAGCATCTCCCAATACCTTCAGCTGTAGGTTTTCAGCACGTAAATGATTGAAAGACATGTTTTTTACATTTGTTGTCAGGAAAAAAATTGTTTTAGCCAATCAGAACGAGTACTAAAACCTATTGTTTTTTGCATTTTTATCACTTAATTTAGTCCAAAAGCTGACGACCGAAACCTTTATTCGAGCGCGTTCAAACTTGAAAAAGAGCACTTCTGACAAAGCTCTCCACCGTGGATAACCTGAAAATCGACAGAAATTCATTTGACTGAGTCAGCAGTGAGATTAATGGTGTTGGAAACTTTTCGATTGAATGCAGGATCCCGAAAACAAGGGAAAAAACAAAATAACCTTTTCTATTTCTGTGATAAATAGAACAAAGGTAGTTATAAACTAAATGTAACTAAGCTTATAACCTCCAGTCTGAAGGTGTTAGACTGGAAATCGAAAACTTAAGATTTTACTGATTTTTAACGAGAAGTCTCTTCAACGAAAGATGACTTAAGCTTCGGTGCCCACCCACCATTTGCACTGAGATGAACAGATGCCGACTTCGGCGCTTCAGGTGCTCGCTGATTTTATTGGTAGAGCGACTAATTCGTTGGAAAGGCGTTGTAGATTTCTTGAACCAGTCACGATGCTCTTTGAAATGAAAGCAATGAGATAAATGTCATATCACTTTCGATGCTCAATCTTAAACACAAAGAGAATCGTGTAAAAAGATTTGAAGATGCGTTAACCATAACAATTGTAAAAAAGCAAGGCTAGGAGCACGCGAGAATTTTAGGCATGAACCGGAGAAGATCTACTGGTGAAAGCTATTTGCTTTTTTAACAACTAACTAGCCCTTCCATTTTCATTTAGTTTTGAAGCCAATACATGGAGCAAGCTTCAAACCAAAGCAGCCAAGAGACATTTGTATGGCATAAGGATGGTTATCTAGCCTATGGCATTGTCATGTTCTGCATCTTAACCATTGGCTTTGTTGGCAATATTTTAGCTCTTCTTGTATTGTACCAAAGACAACATCGAAATCGAAGTATAACCCCCTTAATGGTCAACCTTGCATTGGCAGATATCTTTATCATTGTGTTTGGATATCCGATGGCAATCCAAACTAATCTCCGTGGGAAGCTTCTGGATAGCAAAACTTGTGTTTGGTCTGCATTTGTAAACGGCGCTGTTGGTATAGCGTCTATTATCACACTAACTGAAATGGTTCTAGTATCCTACCTCGGTTTGAAGGAAGTACGTCCTAATAAACGATTAACAGGGAGGCAAATCGCAAGTTTGATTTCCATGGCATGGATTTACGGAGGTCTCTGCATGCTTCCTCCTCTGTTGGGGTGGAATCGGTTTGTTCTTAACGCTTCTAAAGTAAGTTGCTGTCCTGACTGGTCTGGGAAGTCAGTTGCCGATACAACTTACAATATCTTACTGGTTACGATGGGTTTCTTCATTCCTCTTTCTGTAATGGCAGCCTGTTACTACAGAATTTACAGGTAAATAAGAACTACTTTTGTCTCCTATATCTTCCTATCCAGGATGAATCTTTGACAATTCCATTCAACAACTGCTGTAGCGATAACCTATAAGATATTTACTTTAGGTATACAGGTGACAATATCTTGATTATGTTTATGACACGCGACCTTTTCGTTGTAAACTGCAGGAAGTTGAAAATATTGTCTTGCACCACCAAATAAGGACGTTTCTAATGAATAAATTTAGCTTAATTTTGTTTAAGACTTGTTGTGTAAGGCGAGGCGCCGTCTTTGAATATGGCCTGAGGTGATTCTTTAGTATCTTTTCGCAGGCAGGCAAGTTTTAAAACGTCTTTCTACTTTTTCAGAATCGTTCATCAAGCCGTTGTTCCAGGAAACATTGCAGTTCAACTGAGACAACGGAACTCCGAACTAAAAATAGTGCGCATGACAGCATTGGCCGTGTCTGCTTTCGTACTTAGTTGGTCACCTTATTGTTTCGTCAGCCTCACTGCAGTATTTACCCATAAACCTGTTTTAGCATCGGGGGAAGCGGAAGTTCCCGAGTTGTTAGCCAAAGCATCCGTGATCTACAACCCGATCGTGTATACTATCATGAACAGTAGATTTCGAGCAACACTTCTCCATGTGCTGCGCTTGCGCAGGCGTGCAAGTCTAGATAATCGCTTCATGGTTTTACCGGTTCGTGAACGAAGTCAGCACGACCTTCAAAACGGTCCACTAGTTTCTCACAATCACGGCAATATGGAAACTGATGAGAACAACAAAGAGGTGTACAAAGGACAAAGACACCTGCAAGTAACTTCCGCATTTGAAACAAGGGTTCAAAGAACTTTCATTGTTGAACAAATGTAGAGAAACAATGACGTTACCAACAGCAGAAAATCAGTCAAGTGCACTGTATCGCTACCAGGCGGCAGCTACATTTCTATTTGGTGCACAGAGAAACTTTTACAAACTCTTATATGTTGAATACTGATATAGGCGGTAAACAGCACTCACTGTTTAAGAAGACTCATCCAAAATATGATGAGATATATTACTACGTTAATGCAATAGACGCAACGCAAAGCAGAAATATCCAAACAAAAATAAAGAAAAGCCTCACTTAAGGAATTATGCCGAATTGATGATCTAATACTAGATTCTCATAAATGATGCTATGATAAGTATATGATACTCAGTAAGGAAAGTTTACATTAGACAACGAGATTCATTTTTGGTGCCACGGCATCGGAAGATTGAAACCCCTGTCACCATACTCGCAGGGAAGCTGTTAGATTCCACGTGGGAGGAAAAGATTGTTACATTTGCTGCTCCACCATCGGACGTATCCATAACTGCAGCACCACACGTAACAAATATAGATCCATCTATATACCAGAAACTATTTCGGCCAGTAAACTTCGATTTGGATGCCGAGAGTTTCAATTTCTGGCAAAGATACTGTGTATCATAGTTGACAATTAACTTCAACGATTAACATTACACGGAAGTCTCAGAAAGGTGGGCTTATTGTCCGAAATTAATTAAAGTTGTTACAATTTGAAGAAGTCAGTACCCCACGAGAAATCAGATAAGTTACAAGAAAAGAGAAAAAAACCACTTATATCTATCAGTAACTTTGGGTTTTAATTATTGGCAACACACTAGCATGAAATAACAATATCAATAATAAGAAAACTTGAAAGGTTCTGGTACTTTAAATCATAGCTAGGATACTATCATGCACTTGCCCTTAAATTGAACTCTGTTCTGTTTAAGTTGTCTCTGATTACTGTTCCTGAAATCTATTATGGTGACATTCTATCTCTATTGACCTTTCTGTTAAATAGAAACCTCCAGGTCAAATTGTAAATCTTATTATGTAATGTTATTTCAGAGTACTGTGTTCTGATCTTGTTGTGCACCTATACGTAATGCTTTTTTCCCAAAATTCTTCCATTTGCAACCCCACATCCACCTACCTCAACTAAATTTTTCTGTGTTCTTTACTGAAAATAGAGTCCCACAAAACAAAATACAATAATTATAGTAAATTTTTGCTCTCAACCAACTGAAAATAGAACTTATAGGACAATAGAAACCTACGCTCAGCATTGTACCGTATGAACTTCGTATATTCATCATAGCTCAGCATTGTGTTACTCTACACATATATACTGTCTAAAATTGGTCATACATTCAGACCAAATCAAGCTTCCATTGGCTTCTAGTGTAGATTACATCATTTCCCGACGTCCTGACCCTTCTGGAAAGTTTTATCCTCGTGTACTGGTACACAAAATGCCAAAAATAATCATATGAAATGCTTCTCTAGAGTTAATTTCACATCACTTGCCTTGGAAAAGACAATCACCCTACAAACTTCAGAACTCAATTCCACTTCGTTACGTAAGCAAAATCATGACTGAATCTATTAGGCCACAATGGCACAAAGTTTGGCCATTAACCCTCATCTTGAAAATGAACATTTCAGGACTATTGTCTGCTAGTTATCTTGCTTTATCGATGAACAGGAACAATATTGAAAACTATATAACCGTAATCAGATATTAGCTCTTCTAATAAACTCAATAAGACACCAGACACTAAAAAGCAGCTCGATTTCGTAAGCCACACATGTACGCATTGCTGACCTATTTTTAAGATTGTCAGAATCACTGAAGGTTACGCAGTGCGTCACGTTGTCCCAACTTTCCCTTCGTGAAAACGTTTTTACTTATTTAGGAGCAAAAGTGCAATAAGCAATACTGATGGTGAGTATGATTTTTGCATTTATATGCAGGCCAGTGATTTTAATTTCTCCATTTCTGTTTCCGCTGTCGACGTTGTCGTTTTTTGATCCAAAAGCGGAAATCATATCATCCAAAGCTTTGATAACTTGTTCTGTGGTCGGTTCGTCATTCCAGCAAACTCCGTCAAGGCCTGCACCCGTAAGAATATCAGGGACATCGTTTACTAAAAAGCCTCCGCTTACCATGAAAAATCCCTGGAGGTCGCATATCTGACGATATTGGTTTTCATTTGGATTCTCCATCATGTAACTCTTGATTTTTGACAGATCAGAGGCCGTTGTCACTAATGCAGCTGGCGTGGTGAAACTTTTCACGGCCTCAATGAGACCTTGTGTTGTATTGTCAGAAATATGGTCTCGAACTTGCTTGAACTGACCGTCTTTACGATCCACCCAGTGTTCAAGAAAACCAGTGCAGTTTAGGCTGGATTCTTTTCCACATCTGACATCATCGATAGGAGGAGGCGATATCTGGACTATTTTAACGTTTCCTTCTCGATGGACTCTCTGCAAGTTATTGATTTCTTCGTCAATAATTTTCGAGCAGTTTTTCTCTCCGAACATCGGCCTCTGACAGACAAGAAAGCCTACGCTCAATACATTCTTCATACGGCAAGCAGTCTTGTCTTCTCCTTCAGACATCTCAGCGCAGAAAGTGGTGTAGTCAATGCTGGGCTTCACTTTATTGATCTCCTCACGAGCAGTCGCGAAGTCGTCTGCAAACGACAAGGCTATCACGCCAGCCAAGAAACCCGAAGCGAAGTAAAATTTGAACAGCATGTTTCTGAAGTGATTCGATATTGCCTGTTGTATCATGATGAAGAAAATCATTACTTGTCGCGAGTTTTAAGAAGTCAGTGAATAACGAGTATAAACTCAGCATAAAGTATAAACTCATAGCTAATATTAATTTCAAGAAGAAGAAGAACACTTACAATAATAGTGGCAACAAATAAAAACGCACGTGAGCTTTAACTACAGCTACGTAGCTTATCCTTTGCTTCCGTTTGAAATCTTGTTGATCTCGAATTCTCAGAAACTTAAGTTATAATCGGAGAGTTGGGTAACAACATTGGAATGTTCTTCGTGTTTTCTTAGATACAAATAACCGGTTCAGCAACATTAATTCTTGTTGTAACCCTCCACCAAAAATATCCAATAACTATTTTCTCGATAAGAAAACATTACAATCGTTCTTTCAAAAGCGTCCTGTGTTTCTTAATATGTGTGTGGAGCTTCATAAAAAGGTTTGCAACTTAGTTATTTCATGATTAATTCTGACTTAAGAAGCGCTCCGAATAATTGAAACAGTGAATAGGAGTACGCAAGCAGAACCGACTCATATTTTTTGTTGTACATCTGGCTTTGAACGAATTTGACCAAAATTAAGCATTTCTTATGACTCTTGCAACTCAGATTCAATTGCTGGTGACAGTTACATGTGATAAGACTGTTTCAAATTCAATTTCCCTGGTTACCGTCATAGCGGTAATCAAGTTGCGAAGTAAGTCGAGAGGAAAACGCTTAACTTATTACAAGTTACAACATGTAGGTTTTACAAAGGAAATATCACAATTTACATGTCAATCAACGACAGGAAACGTAAATGAATCTGCGATCTGTTTCTATGGTGGCAACCTTTATTTTTTTTAATTACGTTGAAGGTAAATCTTAGTACAAAAAGAGTCCCCACCAGAAAACTCCCAGTATTTTTTCCCTTTTACATGAAAGTGTTGTTATCAATCAATTTTCTTTATATTTCACCCTCAGATTACCTCTCGGATAGTCTCAGTTTAAAGAAATGCTATAATTTTATTATTTCATATGCGTACCCCTCCTTGTTTTTTTGCTGATTTGCACAGGAAAACCACGGACAACTAGCATTAACTTGCCAATAATGTGTACAGAAACCTGACCATGAAATTTTCAATTGCAGAGCATGTGCGGTAATAGACTTCTAAATTAGTGCTTTGACAGCACAGTTCGGTCTCTTGCACTCAGTGGTCAGAAGACATATTTTAGGAATTCTTTGGATATATCAACAAAGTTGAAGTAGTAAATTGGCCACCGTAACGATTACAAAAGCTGACGTTTCGAGCGTTATCCCTCCGACGAAGGGCTAAAAACGCTCGAAACGTCAGCTTTTGTAATCGTTACGGTGGCCAATTTACCATTTCAACTTTGTTGATATATCCAAATTATTTCGTTACTCCCCCAAACAGTTTCTTTCGAAACTATCAGCCTTTATTCGTTTATATTTTAGGAATTCTACTTACTTTTGTATATTACTATATAACTCAAGAAGTTCTTAACGGTTTGGGGTTTGGCCGACGGAAGATGATTTGCTCAGTGCATAACCTTGTGGCATTCGTATGGCATAGATGATAGGGTTGACAAGCGAGCTAGCAAAACATAGTATTGTCACTATTATCTCAAATCGATAAAATGATTGCCTCGAGAGGTTTTTGAGTAACTGGGATGGAAAATGAAAATACTCAGTTGTATAACTGATTGGAACCAAAAATTTAAAGATGCAGACGTGCTTGTCAGCTCTGTCTCTCAAGCCTGTCGCGCTATAATGTTGCAGACGGCGACAAAAGCGAACTTTTATAAAAACAGAAATGTAAGAGACACAAATTACAAAAAGAAAAACAGCAAAAGATGAAAAATACAAAATGACGCGGCTTGAGAAATCGTGTATATACAAACTGCCATTCACACTTACTATGGCTCCTGTTGTTAACCAGTTTAAGATAATTGCATCACCATAGACCCATTTGTCAATAAAACGATGCTTGAAAGGATAAAATGTCGCATGTAATATATCTAGCGATATGGCAACGAGATTAACAAGCGAAAGAAAGGGAACACCAAGCCCAGCTGTCAGTGTCAGGCAACTCAGCTGATCGTGCTCTCACAGATCACAAGAGAGTCCCAACCATTCCTGAAAACAGTTCTTGAAAAGGCAGATACCAAAAGGTCAACTATCGCCAAATGGATTATCAAATATGTACTCTGACGATGTAAAATAGTGGTAATGATGTTAACGAAATCCCCAGGCATTCAGAACAACGACCCCAGAGATGCACTCTACTGTGGGAAGCCTGAAACTCGTGTCATTACAAACACTGCTGATACCGCTGTCATTCATTAAGTTCCGACTTTAGTCTTGTGACTCGCCTAAACCAGTAAATAAGGGTAAAAAAAACTCGTAAAACAACTTTAATTTTAAGATTACTCAGATATACCTTAGACCCTCACTGAGAATGTCATCGATTCGAGAATCCATTGATTGTAAAGGCAGACGAATTTATGAAACTATATATCAACAAGGACGAGGAGGCTGTTTCTCTTATCGTGCATGCATCATTCATTTAGATTCTGTCACTCGTCAAAACAGCGTTCTCAAGCAGTTTGAGCATCGATGTGTCTGCATTAAGAGAAATGTTCTATGATTTCTTATTTTGCTTTTAAATGAAATATTCCTCTCTCACTTTTTTTAAAACAGTCCTCTTAAGATAATGGTTTGTTATCGCTGAGTATCATGTTCTAATGGCTCTATGTCACTCCCGACTCCCTTGGGAGGTTTCGCCGGTCACATGACTATTGGCTTGAATCGCCATGTGCTCGGGTTTGCGAATGTTTGTTAAGTTTTTATCCATTGAAGAGAGGTTTTAAAAAGCGTCATTGTGTCTTTCGTTGGCTTAAGCGAACGGTTCGGTAAGTGAAATTTGGTTTTTTGTTGTTGTTCAGGCAGGTATTTAGAGTTTAATTCCTTCTTTTGTTTGTAATTTTCAGAAAACCTTTCACTTGTGCTTTCACTTGCACCTTTACTTTCACTTTCATTGACCGTGGCCGTGCAGCCAATGTATGAGCTCGAGATTTCGACGTTCGTTTGAGATAAATAAACACAGTACTACGGTATACACTCTATTCGTTGACTCCCAGTTGCTGCACACGGTTTCACAGACTCGGCGCTAATAAAAGGCTCTTAACTAATATGTCATTCAGAACGCAAATGATTATGAAACCTAAAACAAACTGAATAACAAAATGAAAGAAAGAAAGGCAGACAGAAAGTGCCCATGGGAGACATAAACAACATTTACCTGGTGGTGTTTAGCACAGCAAAGAACAAGCTTTGGATTCTGCGTTACGGACATGTAAAAACTGTTGAGGCGCATGCAAATAAATAGGTTTTACCATATCTTATGTATACTGTTACAAATGTACACGTGCACGTCTCACTGACATATCTCTTATTAGACGTTTTGGTGCCAAGTATTTTTACGAGTTATACTGCGTTTTTAGGAGCCAGCCAAGGTGAGCCCAAATACTAACAGCGAATAAAAATACTTAACAATACTACACACCAAAATATCTAATAAGTTATTTTTATCCAACAGATTCATTTCATATGCATTTCTTTTTAAGGGGGGAAAAGCGAAGCTAGTAGAGAAGCGATCTGTGACAGGTCTGGAATGATCGATTCGCGTCAGATATGTTCACGAGCCGGCAACCTTTCAAACAAGGTTTCAAAACGATTCAAGGTTGAATCTAATCTGTGATCTTCATTGTCAAATCGTACACATTTGAAAGAATTGGAAGTAAAAAAGTGATCTCTAGATCGATGAAGCTGTTTGAATAACCTATTACCAATAACAAAAATGTTTCAATTTTCCGGAAGACAAACTCTCTCTTTCTTAAAAGAGAGAGGATAAAAAAATAATACTGTTATTATTTGGCTTGGGGCCCGGGAGGGGCATCTCACCTTGGGAAAGATCGCCAATTGCGCAGCAAAAGATAGAACAAAAGAAAGGTGAAAAAGTTAAAGGAGAATCGTTTATAACAGAGGGTATACTTACTTCTCGATAAACATTTCTAACTGGAGAGGTGTGTGAAGCAATCAAAATTAATAATAGTTAAACAAGGATCGCAACCATCAATGCTGAGTTAACAGGGAAATTGGTCAGATGTGTTCATCTTTACCCTTAGCTATGCCTGCTAAAAATGGCGTTTTGATACAAGTATTGCACGTAACATGTAGGTATGATAACCAGTTCAAACAAAAAAGGCACTGAAGAGTCAAGTTCGGACGAGGAGGCTGTTCAAGAGTTAGCAGAGGATAAAATCCAAGATTCATTGGAGGCTGTTTTTCAAGAGTCGGTAGAGGGAGGTGTCCAGAGGCTGCCCAAAAGGTTTCGGGGCACAAGGCAGTCCCATTGAACACTTGTTGATACATGTATGTATTTCTTACTGCCGTTGTTGTTGTTTATATTGACGGTGTACCACCACGTTTATCTAACGATCCCATTGCGGGAATGCCTCTCCGGGCATACATACATACAATGGCTCTAAAGAATTAAACGTTATGGACATTTGAACTATTTTTTAGCAGGCGCAGCAACTTCTGATTATTTCAATATAACAGATTGTGTCTGAACAAGAAACGAAGTTAAGAAATACAATATCATCGAAAAGGCAATAATTTGATCCCAGCGCTTTCAATATTCTCCTTTTTTTCATTGTGCCCCCCCTCCCCTTAGTGCTTGTCAATTAGGACTGATCCCCGCTCTGTTCTTTTTCAAAACCATATCATTCCCCCCAAACTCCTCCGCTCCCCCCCCCTCCCAGGGAACAAATAATGACCGTTTCTTTAGACTCAGCTTAGGTCGCTGAACGATATAGCTTGCGTGAGGTTAAAGAAAATCCGTGGAACACTAAACGATAAAAGGGACTCTTAACTCGATAAAAGCTAGAAGGACATATATATATATATATATATATATACCAGTGTCCGTTTCTTTTTGCTCGATTTCTGTTTAACAAAATGAGCTCACTCAGCTGATCAGATCAGGCCGGCACTAAATTCAACTTAATCAACAAATCTGAGAATGAAAAACAATTGTAAAGCCTTTTGACAGGAAATAATCATTCCTTTCAACTCCACATCTTTACTATAATGCTTATCACACCAAACTAGTTTACTAGTAGTCTCAGAAATGCATTCTCTACGCATTCTAACATTTTGATCTCATTCGTGTCTTGATAAACCAGGAGAGAGTGCAGCACAATTTAGGAGACAAAGGAGCTAGTACGATTACTCTTAAATTTTATGATCCAAAGTCCTGAAAGAAAAAAGATTTTTCTACGATCTTAATTGACCTCTTAACTGCTTTGAAATGCAGGAATTTTACGCGTCCGAATACAAGATACTCTAACTAGAAAAATAAAGTTGAAAAGTTGTAACGTTTCATCCGCCAATTAATGCACTAAATTAGCCTTTTTTAAAAATTCTTTCATATGATTTTTCGAAACAATGCGGGTCAAGAATTTCATTATTAACACAATGTGTGCTTGGTCCCCTATTCGTTCCTTATGTGTCCTTACCTAAAGTCATATTTTGTCAATTAGAGCAAAGGTGCCACTGCA